TGTCCTTTGTGAGACTGGGTGAGTGCTCCTTGTCCAAGTCAAAGACCCTCAATAAGCTTCTGAGCAATTCCCAGCAGTACCATGACACATTTGTTCACCACGACATAGAGTGTGCTGACAGTCCAAGGAAAATATCCAATGGACTGGCTGAAATAACTTGGTACCTTCCTTGTGGAAACAAGAACATTGATATTTTCACTGAGCCGGTAGCTGTAGCCAGCCTTCGTGGGGACATTGGTGATTTTGAAATGCAGTTTTCTTTTTTGTGTCAGACATCTGCAGCAGCTTTTGTGTTTTTTAATAGTTTGGACACAAATAACAAACTGCTTACTAACAAACACCACAAGGAACAGATCGACTTGGTTGGCAACCATCAGAGCAAGAACTTCAGCATGGATGCTCTCATAAATGTAGCAACGAGTCTGGACTTGAATAACAGCAACATCATTTTGAAGATTAATTGTATGAATGATGCAGACTTTGTCCAGAATTTGAAGGAAATGGTCAGTGATGCCATTAAGAAGACAAGACAAAGATGAAGATGCAAATAGAGCAAATGGCAGACGTTGCCCATGAGCTGGAAATCTTGGTTGATGAAGACCATGCTTCTCATAAGTTTCAAAAGAGAAGCTTGTGAAGTTGTGTCAAAATGGGAGACAACACTTCTTGACAATCTGACTGAGTACTTCAAGCAAAAAGATGGTCATGTTTATCTGGTAGAAGGATACAAAGCAGAGTTTGAAAACAGTGCAAAAAGCCTTGGCCAAGAAATGAAGAGGTCTGTGTTTCGTCAGCTGGAAGAAACAGCTGACATCAGACAGGGAAAGGCAGAAGTTGATAAAATCAAGGAGAATCACACAAAAAACATTGAAACAGAGGTGCATGCACTGATTAATGAATGTCGGAAGAAAAATGTCCAGATGACAGACAGAGAGCTGGACAAAGAATGTGATCTGATGTGGGATCAAACACTGAAGAAACTGTCTTTTTCGGAACAAAAGCCAAAACATATTTTTGCCAATGTGTACTATCACCTGTACCTACATCTGTCTCCTAAGGTGAGTTGTGCATCTGAACTGTTAAGTGAAAAACACCTGAAAGATTGTGGACTGGAAACTTTCAAATATAAACCAGGAGGATTCATGAACAAATTGCCACAGAGTGTGAAAAACTACTTTAACCTTGATGCTCACACAAAGGCAGTACAAACAATGGCTGACAGCATCATAAATGCTTGCACACAATTTGTAAATGAAAAACTGCAAAAGAAAACCGATTACCATGAAAACTACATCCAGGAGATCCTACACATGATTGATGAGAGGCTGCAAAACAATCAGGATGTTAAAACAGACATTGAGTATGTTTTGTGTAAAACATACATATTGATATGTAGACTGAACGACAGGCGAGACACTGAAAATGTAAACGTTCACATATTTCACAAAGCAAACCTTGTAATTCCAAATAAACAACCATGTTTCATGCTTGCTTCAGTTTTTATGTCCTATCTCAACACCACATGCAGACTGAATGATTTATAAGGTAAATGTTAAAAATGTAAATGTACTGTGGAGACCATGAAAACAAGGACATTTTTCTCATTATGGAACTTGACTAATATTTACAACATCCTTTTCAAGCTGTGAGATCATTTTCACATTATTGTGATGTTTTTCATTAATGCCAGATAGTAATTTGTGTTTTTGGACAATACTTCTCTTGTTCTGTTGACATATCACATCATATAGAACTTTCTCCACATATCAGGTTATCAAGGTACAGTTGTTTTTAATGACATTTGTTGGCTTTGTGAAATGAGAAACTAAAACAGAAGTGAGCCGAACTTTAGCATGTTGTTGCTCTGATTAACTGCAGGAGTAGCTATGTCCGTAAGTGAAAACATTGAATTATTGTTGTCTTAGTGTTTTCACTAGAAAATGATTTAGTCTTTCACACATTGGTAATTTGTTGATGTGAAACGATTAGCAACATGTCTTGCTTGTTTGCTAGCTCTACTATGTGTGTAAATGTGTTATGCTAGCGGTTTATTTTCCTTTAGCATTCATAATTTCTTGTTTATTATACTTGTAAGTAGGAGCCAGTTTATTTAAAGTTGCACAAGTGTAATGTGTAACGTACATAGTGCATTAGTATGTAATATTTCTTGCACATGCATAGTAAGTTGCTATCTATTTTTGTATTCATTTCAGTTTTACAGAAACAACCAGTAAAGCCACACGTTTTTCAAAAACACGGTTTGTTGGAGTTGTTGTTCGCTATCTGTCTAACTCTGGATAAGGGACGCCACTGTGAGGGCAGAAAAACTACTATGTCTGGTTGGTTGGCCAT